CCTGCTGAAGCAAGGTGACTGCAGGATGGCCTCTATGAACATGCAAGAAGCTGCAGGGAGGGGGGGAAGAAAGGAAGAGTATAGATAGACTTCTACACAGTTTATAAAGCATCATCTCAGGTTAGGAGCATACTCATTAACATTTGATTACTCATGCATCCATTTCCATATGTGAAAAGTAAGGACAAAATGAATGGGTGGGCAGCTCTCTTCTGATAGCACCCTTTGCAAAGGTCACAGGTAAATGAATATATTGGTGTGCAGAAGCAAGTTAGATCTCTCACCCACTTTCCCAGGTAAAGGAAGAAGAGGAACTGTTTGACTAGCACTAAGGAAAATAAATCTCAGATTCAGAACTTCCTGCCTTTTGAGGAAGAGATGTGAAAAGGAATTTTACAGGTGTCTCCTATCTTTTCAATCTACCAAAACGTTCAGTTGAAACAGCTGACTCTGGTGTATGGGGGGTTATGAGGAAATGAAGAAGGCATTTGAAATTTGGCTGCATTACTGGTTTATAGAATTAATGTTTTATTGTCTAGGCCCCTTTTTAAATTTCAAAGTCAATGGAGCCATGTCATAGAAACATAGAAAATTAGGGTTGGAAGGGACTTCAGGAGGTCATCTAGTCCAACTCCCTACTCAAAGCAGGACCATCCCCAACTAAAACATTCCAGCCAAAGCTTTGTTTAGCTGGGTTTGGAAAACTTCCAAGGATGGAGCTTCCACCACCTCTTGGGGTAACCTGTTTCAGTGTTTTACAACCCTCCTAATGAGAAAATTCTTCCTATTATCTAACCTAAGCTTCCCTTGTTGCAACTTGAGACCATTGCTCCTTGTTCTGTCATCTGCCACCTCTGAGAACAGTCTAGCTCCATCCTCTCTCAACCCCCCCCGACCCCCGCCTTCAGGTAACTGAAGGCTACTATTAAGTCCCCTCTCAGTCTTCCCATCTCTAGACTAAATATGCCCAATTCCCTTAGTCTTCCTTAATAAGTCATGAACCGCAGCCCCCTCATCAGTTTTGTTGCCCTCTGCTGGACTCTCTCCAATTTGTCCACATCCTTTGTAGTGGGGGACTGAACACAGTACACCAGATGTGGCCTCACCAGTGCTGAATAGAGGGAAATAATCCCTTGACCTACTGGAAACACACCTACCTGTGCAGCCCAGTATGCTGTTAGCCTTGTAGGCAGGAAGGGCACACTTATGGCTCATATTCAGTTTATTGTCCACTGTAACCCCCAGGTCCTTTTCTGTTGAGCTGTTGCCCAGCCAGTCACCCCCAGCCTGTACTGATGCATGGGATTGTTTCATCCTAAGTGCAGGACTTTGCACTTGTCCTTGGATTTCTTTTGGTCCAATCCTCCAACTAGTCTCAGTCACTCTGAATCCTAGCCCTACCCTCCAGCATATCTACTGCTCCCCTTAGCCTGGTGTCATCTGCAAACTTGCTGAGAGTGCACTCTATGCCATCTTCCAGGTCATTGATGAAGACATTGAACAAAACCAGCTCAAAGACGACCGACCCCTGGGGAACTCCCCTTGATACCAGCTGCTAGCTAGACATTGAGCAATTGATTACTATTCTCTGAAGACCTTACAGTCCATTCATCCAGCCCATACTTCGTTAGCTTGCCTGGGAGAAGGTTGTGGGAGACCGTATCAAAA